GAGCCCATGTTTTCCTTATGAAGCCTCATGAGCCACATTTCCATTGTTTTCATTTTGCTAGTAATGAAGATTCCCCAAGAATATCTCACTGATCTCTCTATTATTAGGCTCTAATTTATCTTACTTCCATCCTATAAATAAACTCTGTTATTAAGAAATGCTTACTCCGATTAACTATAGCAAAAAGGCCCTCCTTGTTTTCATTGTTCTTCTAGGAACATTTCATGCTATTATAAAAAAATACGTAAGAACAACAATTTCATGAAAGTAATGCTACTTTGCCCCATAGTCTATCACATTGGGGGAAAGGAGACTGGTATACTCATGAAACAGATAGTCAAAATTTATCTGTAGTTAAGAAGCAGATAGAGATGAGTTCTCTCACCCTACTTACTCCCACATTTGGATTATTACTGGACCCTACACCACAGAATGAAGTCCCACAATAAATGGATGAGTCTTTACAGCTCAGTCAAGCATCTATAAAAATGTTTGTGTCTGAGGTGATCCTGTTGCTTATAAGTCACTAGCCAACAAAGTCATCTAAACTATTGTTAATGCCATTTCATTTTAATAATTTTGATTCTGAGGAGTTAGATAAAGACTATGATATTAAGGTATTCAAACATTTTGCAGTAAAAAAAAACAGTTGATGCCTTAAAAACCTTGCTCAAACACCAAAGTCAGTTAGCATGAAAACCAAAATTAATCATAATATTCATTCACTCTTTGATTATTTGGACTCTAATATTTAAAAATATTCATTGAAATATCTGGCCACAATAATTCTGACTTTATGTCCCACTTGCTGTCACAAAGGAATGAGTGGGAATCTCTCGCTATTTAGTATAATAAATGTGCCTTAGCGTGGGTTGTAATTGTCACCTCAACAGTAAGCTAGTATACAGAGGTTTCTATTGAGCATCGAAATAAAAAATACCTGTGAAAATTCAATAGATACATAAATTAGCAATGTTCTTCAAAGAAAATTTCAACTGTGTTATTTATTAAACACAGAAAGACTGCCCATATTGAAAGAACAGCCTTTTACTAGCGTACAACATAATGGACATAGTATTAAACTGGCCTATGATGACTTATGGTTATATACATAGATATACATGTATTTCTCAACTAGCATTCAAAAAATTTAAATTTACAGTAGATACTTGTTAAAACAGGTAACCAAAACTTTCTGAGATGAATAGAATGAGAGTCAACAGAATATTAAGTTCTAAAGAGAAAAAAAAAAACATCTACAATGCACTACCAGTCCCCGAGGCTTGAGGATCATTTCCAAAGAGAGTTGGAAAGAAAGGAAGGGATGGATGTGGAGGATAACTTCAAGGAAATATCTTCTGGACATAGTAGGATAACCGGCCTTAGGAACTCATAGAGGTTGTGACAGCATTCATGTTGCAAGAGGTTGCTTGTTGGTTTCTGGCCACTTAGCCATGAAAAAAATCATACAGAAACTATATTAATTAAATCACTGCTTGGCCCATTAGCTTTAGCTTCTCATTGGCTAACTCTTACATATTAATTTAACTCATCTCCATTAATCTGTGCATCACCACGAGGTCATGGCCTACCAGCAAAGTTTTAGTGCATCTGTCTCTGGTGACAACTCCACGGCTGGGATCTAAGCTGCAAAGCATGGACATGAGAGTATCCCAGGGCAATGTGGCCACTGATCTGAGACATGTTGGCCTGAGTGGCCTGCACTGGCACTCAGGGCCATGGTGACATTTGGGCCAGGGCTACTGCCAAAACGGACTTGTCTGTGTCTTGGACCTACAGTAGTCAGGGTTTGAGATGCTGTCAATGACTCTTACCACTGAGGATCATGAAGTAAATCAGGGTAATTATACCAGTGTTGTGGCCGTACAGACCTGGAGGCCAGTGTTTCCATCTATGGGTCATGGAGACATCTGGGCATGGGCCACTGCTGGGGGCCATGTCAGGTCTGTGGTCCTGCAGTAGCCTGGTTCTGAGGTGGTATCCGTGGTTGTTGTTACCACCAAGGGCTCTGTAGATACCCTGGGTTTAGTCTGTCACGTGAGACCTTGGTGCTGACTGGGGCATACTGACAGCAAGGCTGTACTGATCTGGGTAGCCTGTGCTGACATCGGGTCATGGTGAAACTGGGCCAAGTTGCTGACAAGGGTCATGTGTTTATTCATGGTATTGCAGCTGGGGTCTGTGATGCATGTGTTCCATTTTAGCACAGGAACCCATTGAAACTATGATGTGCTGAGCAAGCCCAGCTCTTCACTGGCCCTGGGATTCCTGGCACAGCCCCTCCAATCCCCTTCCAGGGATACCTGGAAACTCCAATAGGAGAGCTGCCCCTGCCTCTGCCCCTTAGAGGAGAACTAATTGACTGCACTCAAGAAAAAGTCCCTAACCCTAATCACAGACATTTACCTCACCTGTCGGCACACAAGATTTGACCCTGTGGTAGAGGATGCAGGTGAGTGGACTTTGAGGGTGTGAAGCAAAAGAGTTGCCCCTATCTTCTACCCTACAGCAACAGGTAGAGAGGACTCTGCATCTTGCCTGGGCAAACAACAGAGCCGGCCTTGTTGATATGCATGTGGGTGACACAGGTCAGAGGTCCTGAGAGCGGGAGAACTTGCTCCTTGCTGTGGGCTAATTTAGGTGAGCTAATCAAGAGAATATTGGGGAACCCACCTACTTAGTGCCAGGAGAAAAAGCCGGAAGAGTGACCGACCTAGCTACCACTCAGGCTGAGACATGAGCTATGAGTTAGCCCACCCTAATATCCAGTGAATCCATGAACAGTTGGAACATCTGAAGGGGACAGAATAGTGGGATACTCAGAGCATAGCACAACAGATTATCCAAGAGGAGACCCAGTGATGTAGCAGAAGACAGAGGCCTCTGTCCAATGACTCCAGGCAAGGAAAACCTGCAAGTAAAGATGGACCAAAGGGTAAAGACTAAACAGGCCACACTACAGCCTCCATGAGAAGGGTCTCCTTTATTTTTCTCTTTTTGGTCTTGTTTTGTTTTGTTTCTATTTTTAGAATGCATGATATGAAATCCACAAAGCATCAATAAAGATTAAAAAAGAAACGTTTAAATTGTCATTCTATTGCCTCAGTCTATGCAGCAGTACTTTTATAGTTTTACTGTTTATCACATGCAAATTCACATGTGGTTGCTTCTTATGTAGCTTATTACTTTCTCATGTGTTTAACTCTTTATTGATTTGCTTAATATATGAAGAACACCACTAGATATCAATCATCAGGGTAAATCTTTCTATTTTTCTTTATACAACATCTTAAAAACAGTTAAGAGAGGTTGTTTTTGTTGCTGTTGTGTGTAAAATAATATTTTTTAACCAGAACAAATGAATCTGAGATAAAATCAGGGAGGACATGGAATGAGTTGGAGGAAGGAGAAGTGTAGCAGAAATGATAGAAGTACAGCATACATGTAATAAATTTTGGAAAATTAAAATAAATATGGAAAACAATTATGAATCAAGAAATCTTTTTCTTGAAGTGTTTTCTCTGATGGTTTAAAAATTATGTGTTTTAACACTGAGGACTTTGAAGTTTAACAATTTATGGAAAGACACAGGTAAGTAAGCAGAAATTTATTTAAAAAGTGAAAGTTCATCATATTGAACAAATAAGAGTCAATGACATGGCAAGTGAGAATCATGCTTTCAACAGTGAGTTTGTTTCTTTTGTGATTTGGCAGATGTGATTTAAGAGGTGTTTTTAATACAGTCAGGTTTCCTTGTCTCTCATTTTGTTCTAAATCAAATTCTTAGTTTTCACTGAAGTTGACGTAGCCAAAGAAATGAACAAATAGTGATTGAAATTATGAGTTGACACAGTGGGCCCAATTTTCCCATAATTTATGCTTACTATTCAAGTTCTATCAAGAGAAGGTGATATTCTAGTCACGAGCAGAGGTTTCAGTGAGTTGTATATCGCTCAGGATTGTGGGTATAGGGGTAGAAATAAATCATCAGAGCAGACAGCAGGAAGTTGTATCCCTTTATTTTCTGATAGATTGAGAATATGTTGGGGTTTTTATGTCTTATTATGTACTAGACAAAGATGAGATATGATAATGAGATAGCTAGACACTGATCTGATCCATGCAGGATTTCCAGGTAGTAATATTTTGTCAAAGTGACTATAGAATATCCTTAATATAACTGAAAGTGAGAACAACATTATAAAAAATTCACAGAGAACTTAAATTTTGTAGAGACAAAACACATTTTGATAAAACAGATTGTCCAGAAGATAATATGCAGTAAAACATCTTTCCCATTAGAGACACTAGTGAAAAAAATCAGTCATAGTAAAGTGATTTCTGCTTTAGTTATAACAGTTTCCACCACTCCTTTACAGTCTCTGATGAAAAGCATTTGCCTTCACAGAGGAAGAGGTGAAAACTTCCTCAAATGCAGACACTAGAAAAAAAGGATACAATAGATTGTAATGGTATAGACTACCCAAGTGTCTTTCTCTAAATACATTGTGTAGATCTTCGGATGCTGTATTATAATCTAGAGTGAATCTAAATTAAGGCATTTGACTTAATTTGTTGTTCTCCCTTCTATTATACTGCCTCGCAACTAGGTAGAACCCTATAGAAACCAAATGGGCATCTTTCTTTAAGTTAATTAGCTTTCTCTGCTACGGGCACATTTAAACATCTCAGTTGTTTTGCTCATCTTTTGTATATGAAATATAACAAAATGACTATCAAATGATTGGAAGTTGTTTTGCTCATCTTTTGTATATGAAATATAACAAAATGACTATCAAATGATTGGATATATATATATATATATGTATATATATGCTAACTTCTATTAAAAGTAAATGGCTTAAAATTTGTACTGTAGAAATGGCTCAACCACTAAAGGCTAGGCTCGCAGCCAAAATTATCTTTAAACTTCCCTATATATTGTGATGAATTTTGTCTCTCTCAAATACTTTTAAATCTTAAATGAAGGAGGATCTTGAGTAGAAATTTTGTAATAACCTTTTCAGAGCACTATTAACATCACTGTTTCTCAGGGTGTAGATCACAGGATTGAGCGCTGGAGGTAGCACAGTGTACACTACAGAAAACAACCTGCCTGTAACTGATGTTGTATTTGAGGGTGGCTTCAGATAGACAATGCTAGCAGTAGCAATGAAAAGAGTGAAAACAGTGATGTGGGGGATGCATGTGGCAAATGCTTTGGACTGCCCTTTAGTGGTTGGAATCTTCAGTACAGTGGAGAAGATGTAGAAGTAAGACATCACAACACAAAAGAAACTAGTGATAGCTAGACACATACCAATCCCAAGACTTGAATAAATGACTACAAATGAGTCAGAGCAGGAAATTCTTAACAAAGAGGGAATATCACAGAATATCTGTGGAATTACATTAGAACCACAGAAAGGCAAGGAAAATATGCCAGCTGTGTACATAGCTCCAACAAGTAATGCAGTGACCCAACATACACCCATCAGCAGCACACAGGTGACACTACTCATGATTATCTCATAGTGCAAAGGACTGCAAACTGCAACATAGCGGTCATAGGACATAGCAGTCAGGACAAATACTTCTCCTGCTCCGAAAGAGGCCATAAAAAACACCTGACATGCACATCCAGGAGTAGAAATGTAATTGCTGTGAGTTATGCTATTGACAAAGAAATTTGGAATTGGGACAGACACTAGAAAGACATCCAAGAGGGACAAATTCCTCAGGAAGAAGTACATGGGTGACTGGAGTTTCTGGTCCAGGGTGATGAGAGTTATGGTGAGGAAGTTACTCACTAGTGTCACCAGGTACATTAACAGAAAGGACACTCCACATAGAGTCTGTACTTCATCGATATCCGAGAGTCCCATAAGGATGAATCCAGTTATTGCAGTGATATTGGGCATAATATATTCTTTCACAGTCTGTCAGATGAAGAACAATGAATAGAAATTGGCAAAGTCCTAAGTACTTAAACAGATATATGGATGCATGCAGTGAAAAAGAGTCAGACAATGACCTAAATTGCTCCTCTTCTCTTCCTCCCTCACTCTCATACCCTTGTTCACTACCTCCTCTGTTTGTCTACATATGTCTCTCCTCCCTCTCTTTCATCCTTTCTCATTCCCTCATTTCCCCTCCTGCTTTATCTCACTTCAATCCTGTGACGATTTTAGGACTTTGTAGATGTTATGCAGATTAGCAAGTTGTCTACAATTGATCTCTACAACCTTAATTCATAGGATTTAAAGATGAAGAGCAATTAGCTTAAACACCATGGGATAAAAATTTGTCTTCTTTTATTTTACAAAGATGTCATTTTAAGATGAGAAAGAAATCTTGGTTTACCATGGTTTGGGTTTCATTTAAAGAGTAATGGATATTTTAAATGCAAAAATAAAGCTAATAAAAGCTGAAAATTAAATAGAAGAATTTCATTTAATCATGTACCTTCAACCTTGCCTTTGTATTATATACATATGAGATTGGACAGCAAAAAGTTGGATGAATTATTGACCTTCTGTGTCAACTATTTGCTTAATAGTTTTGTTAAGCAAACTCTAATAGAGATTAAATGCTGCATTTCCTAAAACTACTGCAAATGCCCAGTAGATGTCTAAGGGTATGAGAAAATATTGTTATAGCTCCCATTACTTCCTTTGCTTTTGATTGTTTTAGACATTAAAAATAATTGTTGCTCAACTGTAAGGACAATCATGGTGTCTACCTCAAACCATTAACAATTGCTATTCAAGGATGAAGAAAGGATAGATTAACTAAGGTATTTCCAATTTTTAGCTGCTGTCCTTTAAATCATCTATTCAAGATACAGAGGATCCTCCATGAACTCTTTATTCATTTCCACAAACGTTGTTTGAACAGAGCAGGTTAGTAGACATATTACTATTGGTGTCAACGACTTCATGAGAAGATGGGACCATTAAATAGGAAACAAATTCCCCCCTCTTCCAAATGATATGGCTGACATTTAAATACCATGTAGATCAAATAAAATGTTCATCAACCTGACAAAGCTTCCCTTTAAATTAGGCAGGGATTCTTTCTCTAAGTAGGTTTAACTCTAGTAATATTGCAACTCTTAAGACTCTCTCTAATCAGAACTGAAACAATAATGAACCAGACTACAGAGTCAGACTGTTTGGGTTCCTATGCTTTTCCCTGTTTAATTTGGACTTCTTGTCAATACTTCTGAAGACAGGAATAACTTATAAAATTATATTTATTAATTTCTTTTCCTATCTTTCATCATGATGTTTATAGTTTAATTTTTGTGCAGATAGGATATACCTAACTTGTTATAGCTTTCTAAAGCCAGGATCCTAATGTCATAGAATTTCCTTAAAGTAATTCTAACAAAATATCATCTCATTTTCATAAATATTGTTCTTTATCCTCAATATTTAACAGTCTTACATTCTACCAAATAACATTACCTGTGTGGTGAAGGAGAAGAAAGAGTTAAATTCTCTCACACCTCTTAACTTCACCTTTTTATTCAGTATGGAACCCTAGAATACATAATAGGGTATCTTACAAAATTGGATGGATCTTCCAAAATTTGCCAAACTTTTAAGAAAATGTACTCAGAAACTTGTTTCTTAGATGATTCCCAAGCATATGAAATCTATAATTCACAATAGATTCACAACTATTCTTAATTGCTTTTTACATTAATGATTTTACCTCAGAAGTACTAGGTAAAGACCATGATACTATTGTATATAAGTATTTGGTAGTATAGAATAAGAAGAAGCCATGAGAAAATATGTTCAATCATAAAAAGCTTTGGCATGAAAAACAAACTAATCATGAAAGTCACTCATTGTTCAATCATTTGGTCCACAACAGACTTCAAAAAGTGATATATATAAAAATATTAGCTGTGTTCTTTAAAGACAATTTTAGCTTCAGAAAAAAAGTAAGATTTCTAGGAACATTAGGATGTTCTTAAATGAGCTTAGTATGAAAATGACTGATATTGACATGGCTATGCCCATAGATTGATGCATCTCTTAGCAATAACCAAAGATTCTTCTATTTACAATAAAATGTGATTAAACTAAGTAGGTCAAGGTGAGGTGACTAAGAGTCTACAGAATGCTCAGTCCTAAAGTTAACAAATACACTGCACACCCAACCACCAATGATCAGAACTATTGCTAAGGAAGGGTTGAAAGAGGGAAATATTGTCACTTCTTTGTCCATCCCTCTCAGGCCTTTGCCTGTCTGCATTCCTCCTGCAACTTCTTTATATCTCTTCCTCTTTGTCCTCCTCCCTCACTGAGTTTCTGAATTTATTCCCTCCTCTCTCTCCCTCCCATTCTTCTCTCTCTCTCTCTCTCTCTCTCTCTCTCTCTCTCTCTCCCTCTCTCTCTCTCTCTCTCTCTTTCTCTCTCCCTCGCTTCCTCTCTCCCCCTCTCTCTCCTTCTTTCTGTCTGTGTATGGATAGGTGTATGTTTATGATATATGTTATTAACTAAATGATAGACTAATATAGATATTATGAGGGCATCCTATTCTGCACTGAAGGAGGCAAAAATAAGCATGTACAAATTTTCATAAAACAACAAAAAGCCTCAGATGACAAGTTTCTCTGCATTCATACCTTCATTTAGAAATTTTCAGTTGATTGCTATTTTAAAGGCAAATTTCACAGGACCAGTACCCGGGCAAAAGTCTGTGGAGATGGTATTATGGAAATCAAAACTCTGATTCACGTTAGGCTGGATCATACATGGAATATTTAGAAAAAAAAGCTGTCTGTGGGCACAGAATGAATGTTTTGTAGAAAGATAAAATTCAAGATACTTCTCTGGCTAATACAACTTTCAGGATGGTTAAATACAAAAAGAAGGCAAAAAAGAAAAATGAATAGATCAATGCTAAATTAGACCGCTTTAAATAATTTTCCCAATTTCTTCCTTATCTATGATAATTTTTAAAAATTTAAACAATAATTTTAATATTTTACCAATCAAAATATAAAACTTGTACCTTAGAACAATTAGGATTCCTCATGTTCCTAAAAAAATGTAAATTTCCAGATATATGTAGATTGGTTTTTGAGCAAGTCATTGAAGAAGAAAACTTTCCAGATCCTTTAGAGATCAATTTCAGTGGATCAACTAAAAGGAAAATAAAATGTGTAACTAGCCATCTTTAGAAACTCTGATATATAACAACATTTTTGAATCTTTAGTATTGTAAGAAAGTTCTAAGCTAAACTGGAGATAATTTTTTAGGATGAAAATACAAATATATGCAACAGGAATTTGAAATGTTTTATAAGAAAACATCTCTAACAGACCTATTTAAATCTTCTGGCTACTCATGCTTGGTTCCCAAAGGTACACCGTTTTGGATAGCCTTATTAAGAATCCATGTCTTAAGACAATTAGTTTTTTTAATAATTTGTACTTACTATAGAACACATTATTTAGTCCCCAGGAATTACACTGTGATAGATCATAAAGAACATGATCATATTGACCCAAGAATTAAGTTAATTATGTATTTCCTTAATTGCACAGCATAGAGTTGGAAAAAAACATTGTAATTATAAACAAATTTTACAAAATACAAAAATAAGGAACTTTGATTAAACATTCACATAATCTCACCTGTATTAAATACTTTTCTCGAAGTTGGGAGAACAAGGAAAAGAATGAGAAAGGATATATTGATTTTCATGAATTGGAGGTGCAGTCCATCATGGTAGAGAAATCATAATTGCTAGAAAATGAAAGAGCTGACTAGAGTGTACCTACAATTACAAAGAAGAAGTTGACAAACTGTACCAATCTAATTATATGATGTCCAACTTTCTCCTTTCCTCCATGGATGTAAATTCAGAAAATAAAGCCACTTGTACTAAGGGTACATTTTCCTACGAAGGTCAAGACTTTCTGGAAATACCCTTAAACTTCAAAATTTTTTGTGATTTTAGATATTATCATATTGACAACAATATTAGCCATCTCAACCCTATCCCTTGTTATCTTGATGCCCAAATTAAGTTCATACAGCACTGTTAAAGAATATCACTACACAGTGGTAGATAATGTTTCTTGTACATTTCATAATGTAAATGTGTTTAGTACACCGCTAAATAACCCTAAAGTCAGAATAATTCAAAGGTTTTTCTAATGTCTATGGCCCAGGATCTTGGAGAAACGACTCAGTGCTTGAGAGATTTTACTGGTCTTGTTAGGTTTTGGTCCACCGAACCCATATTATATTGCCCCAAACAATAAGTAATTCTAGCTCTAATCACCTTTTTGTTTCTGGTGGAATTTTCACTCACATATACACATATACAAAGAAATAAATAAAATTAAATAAATATTGATAAGCTCATGATCTGTTTGAGCTAAAATTCTTAGCAACCTCTTGTATGACTTTTAAATTTCAAAAAGAAAACTATATACTTTAATGAATACAGTAGCAGGGGGCAAAGTTTCCTATTTTAAAAAAGAAAATTGTGTTACCATTGAGGAAAGATCAAGTCAATGAAACATAGAAATCCATCAAGGCATACAGCAGAAAATTTAGTTTTGTATGTAGAACCTGGAGTTTATGATCAAATTATCTATACTCCATAGCATTGAACAATACCAATCCTCCAGTTATCTATTCTATAGCTGATGTAGCTTACCATTAAAGTGGCGCTAAAAACATGACTGCAACTTTTCTTAAGTCTAAGAATTTTCAGCCTCCTGGGGTTCTGTTATATCCTTCCTCAGATCCCTCTTAAACCCTCATAACATAGAAACGATATGAACCTGTCACAAATTATCTGGACCTGTCCCTTTCTAGGATATTGGCTCAAGACTCAATAAGCCCTTCATTCTTGTAAACTTTTTTCCAACAAAGCCAGTGCCACATT